TTTAAATAATAAGAAATACATATTTGCCAATGTAGCTATCATTTTTTCTTTTTCTTCCTTTTTTAATCATTTTTGGTTTGTGATATGATTAATTCTTTCAGCTTTTATATACATGAAAAGTATTTTGCCTTCACTTTTTTTGGAAGGTATTTTTGCAGGGTAAAGAAATCTATGTTGACAATTTTTTCTTTCAATACATTAAGGTACATAACTCTGCATCTTCACATTTACATAGTTTATGAGAAGAAATTGGCTGTTATCATAATTGGTATTCCTCTATATCTTACAGCTTTACTGTCTGGCTGCTTTTATGATAATTCTCATTATCACTGGATTTGAGTAGTTGGATTACGCTGTGTCTTGATGTAGTGTCCTTCATATTCCTTACACCTGGATCTGTCAGACTGTGGCTTCCATCAAATATGGAAAAGTGTTTAGCTATTAGTTCAAATAAATTTTTTACCCCTCCCTCTCCTTTGGGAATTTCAGTTGTATGTATATTAGGTTTCTTGAAGTTGCCCTAAATCATTAATAATCTTCATTTTTTTTCATCCATTTTTTCTCCATGTATTTCCTTTTGGAGAGCTTTTAATCCTATGTCTTCACATTCTAACTTTTTCCATCTGTAATGTCTAGACTAATTTAATCTTATCTAGTGGATTTTACATTTCAAACATTGTAGTTTTCATCTCTAGAATTCAATTTGGGGTTTTTATGATGCATTCTGTATCTTTACTTTCTAAACATGTGAAATACTTCTTATGATTATTTTAACATTTTGTCTTCAACTTCTAATATGATGTCAGTTCTGGATTGGTTTCAATTAATTGATTATTCTCATCATTACGGGTTTTGTCTTCTCGCCTCATTTTACGCTTGATAATCTTTATTTGGGTTCCAGACATTATGACTTATACCCAGTGTATATTGCATATTTTTGTATTCCTATAGCACTCTTAGACCTTTGTTTGGGTACATAGTTAAATTACTTGGAAACAGGTTGGTCCTTCTGAGTCTTGTTTTTAACTTATTGTAATGGGTTGAATAGTGCCCCACCCCCAAAAACTCATGTCTACTTGAAAGCTCAGAATGTGACTTTATTTGAAAATACAGTGTTTGCAGATATAATTAGTTAACATGAAGTCATATTGGATAAGGGTGGCCCCTAAATCCTATGACTGGTGTCTTTATAGGGCTCTGGAAATGCATAGAGAAGCATGTCATGTGACGATGGAGGTAGAGATTGGAGTAATGCATCTATAAACGAAGAAACACCAGGAATGGTCAGCAATCACCAGAAGCCAGGAGAGAAACATGGGATAGAGTCTCCCTCATAGCCGCCACAGAAAGCTAACCCTGGCAACAATTTGATTTCAACTTTCTAGCCTCCTGAATTCCAAGGGAACAAATTGTTGTTTCAAGTCACCTAGTTTGTGGTTATTTGTTATGCTAGCTCCAATGTGTTAGGCAGATCCAACGTGCCATCTAATCTAGGTATAATTCTTCCCACTGAAGCAAGACCCTTTCGAGTGTTCTACCTGGTGCCCCACGAATTCTGAAGCTTTTCAGTCCAGCTGGTGAGCAAAGGCATTATTCCTAGTCATGTTCACCCTAATCCTCTCAAATGGCTCTTTTCCTGGCACTTTTCTCACGCACAGACTCTGAACAGCCCTCATCAAATACTTGAAGGCAACCCTCTGCACAGCTCTGGAGTTCTATCCATTTGGGCAGCTCCTTCCTTTTCAATACTTTGGCCACCTGATGTGAACAGCCAATTCATTGGAAAAGACCCTAATGATGGGAAAGATTGAAGGCAAAAGGAGAAGAGGGTGACAGAGGATGAGATGGTTGGATTGCATCATCGATTCAATGAACATGAACTTGGGCAAACTCCAGGAGATGATGAGGGACAGGGAGGCTTGGTGTGCTAAAGTCCACAGGGTCGCAAAGAGTCAGACACAACTTGGCAACTGAACAATTCCTCTCTAGTATTGTGTACCTCCAGCTGTCTTGCCTCCCTTAACTCGTCCCTCTCCTCAATTCAGACTCAGTTAGGCTCCACCTGGGCTCCTCCTCCAGGGACTGGCTGCTGCTGCTGCTTACTCACTGTCTTGTCTGACTCCTTGTGACCCCACAGACCGTAGCCCACCAGCTTCCCCTGTCCATGGGATTCTTAAGATAAGAATACTGGAGTGGATTGCCATTTCCTTCCCCAGGGGAATCTTCCCAACCCAAGGATCAAATCTGCACTTCCTGCTTGGCAGGTGAATTATTAACCACTGAGCCCCCTGGGAAGCCCTGTCCTGGCTGAGAACTCTCCCAAGTCAGTTGGGGCACTCACAGGTCTCACTTTGTCAGTTTCCCTTCTTCTCAGGAACCTCTATCCTTCACTGCCTGATGTCCAGTGTCCCAGTGCTCCATAGTTTCTTTTTTCAGTTGTTCAGATGGGAGAATAAATTTATTCCCTGTGTATCCATCTTGGATATAAGCACAAATTCCAAAACCATAAGATCTCGAAGTCCTAAAATCTAAAAGTCTTGTAGGGATTATTGAACCACAATCTCAGAGTGCTAGACTTTTAAAACATGGCAAGTTGGAGTCTTCGCTCACTCAAAGGACTGGATACTTTCTGATAATGATCACTGACAAGAGTTATCAAGTATAAGCTGTGCCAGGGACTGTGCTCAGTAATTTGCACACATTATGTCCTTTGTCCCCATGACAAACCCTAGGGAATGGGAACTATTATTTCTCTCACTTTCCAGGTGCTTAGTGAGTGTAAGTCATTGCTGAAGGTCGGTTGATTGCAGTGACCTTGTAATCAACAGGGTCTGGACACAGCCTGGATCTCTTTGCTCCGAAGTCCATGAACTCAGCCTGTCTGCTAGAGTGCCTCCCTTGAGGCCTCTCTGCTGAATGCCCACCCTTCCTGTCTGTACTTCTCCAGTGACAGGGAACTCTACCCCTCCCCAGGGCCGCCATCCATCCTGACAGTGGACACATCTGTCCTGTTGTTCCTAAATCTGCCCTGGGAGACCCCACAGGAGAAGACAACCTTCACCTGGGACTCCTGCAGGGAGGGGGAGCAGCTGTCCGGGACGGGACGGCGCTCACACAGGAGTGGGGCGTCTCGGGTTAGGGGACCCCCAGCTGCAGGCCCTTCCTGTGATAGGAAGAGGAGGGTTCATCCTGAGGGAGGGAATCGGCCTAGACGTTGGCAGCAGGAGCTCTCAAAGACAAGTGAAGCCGAGCCCAGAGCACTGGGCGCTGCGGTGGGGGGTGGACTGTGATACAGAACACAGCCCCCAGCAGTCAGAGCACCAGGCCTAATAAGACTGGCGTCCTAAGTGCTGTGCCTTTAATTTCCTGGCTCTTCTCCCTGAAAACTTATTCCACAGAATGTGCCTTTGTACCATGCATCCTCCCAGATGGCTTTTTAAGTGAAGCTTTTTTGTTAACTGGGAGAAGAAAAAGGAGGGGAGGGAGGAGAGGGAAAGGGGGTGGAGCCGCAGCCCCCAGCGCTGGAGACAGTCAGAAGAACAGTGAATGGGAGGGTGGGGCAGGGAGCCCAGGGGTCCAGGAAGGGGCAGAACAGGCCTCCCTGGATGGGACCTCCGCACAGAGAACAGAGTCACGTGACAGAGTCCCAGGGACAGTCACCAGCAGTGTCCCGGCCCCACTGTGAGTCCAGCTCTGGGTGAGCACTTTGGACTCATTGACCCAACATGTCCTCACTCAGCCTGTGTGCAGGTCCTGGGACCATCCTCGTCCCACACAGGAGGGACTCGGAGAGGTGCAGGCTTCCCAAAGTCACACAGCTGGAGAGAGGCAGACTCAGGATTCCAGCCCAGGACTGTGGGGCTCCAGAGCCCCAGCTCTTCTCCAGGAATCACACAGCCCCTCCCAGACTGTCAGCCAGGAGAACCGTAGAGATCAGCCCTACTGCAGCGCCACTGTCCTCACGGCCTCAGTTTCTCCATCTGTACAATGAGGCGGTTGATGGAACTCCCCAGTTCCCAAGCCTGAATCCACAACAGAATCTCCTGGGGGCTTTTCAGCAATACTGAGGTCTGGGCCCCAACTCAGTGTCTGGATTTTTTAAAGCCCCACCTTATCCCAGGACATTCTAACTAGCACAGGTCACATTGCACCCCCTCGGGTGAATTCTCAAGGTGAGTGTCTCTGGAGCCAACCACGGAAGAAGGTCGAGAGAGAAGCTTGGCTGTTACAGCACATCCCAGCCAGCCCAGTGGGAGGGTCTGTGATGGATTCTGCTTCCACAACCACATCTGGAGGCCTCTTTCGTCCCCTCCCCTTTCCTCAGCACAGCCTGTAAGCCAGATGTCCAGGAGCCATGATGGATCACCTCTGTGATAGTCGCAGATGGCTCCTCCACCACCCAGTGCCAACGGCCCCAACCCAGTGTCGACAGCAGTGACTCAGTGACCGGTTATGAATGCGAAGAAGAGAGTGTGCCTGGGGAGGGGGGCTCTGAGATGGGGGTGTCACAGCAGAAATGCCAAGCTGGCTTCCTTGTGTGGCCCTCTTATAGGCCTGGCCTGCATTTTCCCAGTTACCGAAGGAATACATACACACACTTTTGTTGCCTTTTCAACCCTAAGGACAAGCTGGACTTTTCAGGTTCCTTAGCAGTTCCCAAATGAATGGCAGGAATGACTGAGAAAGGTCAGAGGTGGGGATGCAGGCATGCCACTTGCAGACAGGGGCTTTGTCTCTCCAGAGGAAGGGGTATCTGCCCATTTCCCAGAGGGGCAGAGCAAGGCAAGGTGTGAGGCCATCGTCAGAGGATTTCACAGTGAAAAGCCTCCCTCCTGCCCACCTGGTCCAGGAGCCTCAGAGCTCACATTCCACCCCCTACTCCCAACCTGCTCCTCCCTAGGGCTCCCAAACCCAGGAAAGTGCTCAGAAGTCCCTCCCCTCATCACTCCCCAAAAAAGTTCAATTAAGCCATTCCTGCCCCGTTCATTCACCAAACTTACCAAGGCCCACTGTGTGCCTGCCCTGTACCTGGGGCACAGCCATGACCAAGGCAGCTCCCCTCCCTGCCCTGACATTCGGGGTCACGATCTAACACCGGGAAGGGAGCACAGAAGTGCACAGATGATGAATTAACTGTGCCAAGGGCTGTTCTTGGTGGCCAAAGCTGCAGAGCAAGAAGGGGAGAGGAGACCCTAGGCAGAGGGGACACGGGTGCAGGGACCGCCCCCCACCAGGTAAGGAGAGCTAGGGGTGCGTTTCTGCAGAGGAAAGCCCCCAGTTCCCAGCTCTGAGCAGCCGCATCAGCTTCACGGTGAGCCTGGGTCCTCCCAGCCCACGGTCATCTGACCCCATTTCCGGTATCTAAAATATGTAGTTAATTTGCAGCCCCAGGCTGGCCCCGCCCACAAGCAGGATGTGCCCCCTGAGGCCCTTGTACTTCCACCCACTAACCCCTGCCTCCCTGCCCCTCGCCCCTCGGCTGACCTTCTCCTTCTCCCCTTTCCCAGCCTCCCCTGCGGTCTGAGATACCTTGAAGGTCCCCTGACTCCCCTGGATGTTGGGGGTCTCCCGGGGGTCTGTGGGGATGGGCTTGTATTTGACACCTTGTCGAGAGGCCCGTGGTGCCTTCCGGGCCCCTTTGGGGACAGTGTCCTGGTCTGTAACCAGCAGCATCACCCCCCAGCAGGGGACCCAGCAAGAGGAAGGACTGTCACCCAGTAAGCCCACAAGGACCCGGCCGGGGACCCTGAGGGGAGGACCTCCTGGCCCGTGAACCTCCATCCTCAGGCAGATGGATTTCTGCCCACCCATCCTCTGGTCCCCGTACACGGGGCCTCCCTGGACCAGGACAATGTAAGGACTGTAGTCAGAGCTCGGGGGCATGTTCTGGAAGCCCTGGTGGCAGCAAAAAGCTGGGAGTGGGGGCGTGGGCAGAGTAGACACAGTCGAGGGGGCCGTGGCTCCAGTCAAATCCATTTCCTCTCTGAGGCTACCTCTGATCCTGAGCGTGGACAGGAGGTGATTCTGGGAAAATTCCGGAGGACGAGGACTGCCGGGAATCCAACAGGCCCTGGGACATCTGGTCACGGCGCGGCCACTGTGACAAGGACGCTGCTGATAATAGCGTGCCGGGCACCGTGCCAGGGCTATGTCCTCCATCACAGCAGCCTCTGGTGGGAGGGGCCCGTTTTAGATGAGGAGACCGAGACTCAAGAGCGGAGCCGTCGCTGGCCTGGCCCCACTTTAAGCACCTCTTGGCTCTGGTGTTGCCTGGAACCTCCGAGTGTTCAAGCTGACACCACTTCCTCTGTAAAATGTAAAATTTGCCCGTGTCCTGAGGGTGGCATGGCAATGGTGACTGTCCCTTTTAGAGCAAGTCTGTGGAGGCGAGTGATGAAGTACCGGTCCCCCAAGGCCAGCCTTGTCTGAGGTGCCCATTAGGGAACAAATGTGGCCCAGCTGTACACCAGCTCGGGATGCGCTGAGGAAATTGCTCCAAGGACAATGAAATGAAGGGCGAATCCATCAGCCCGGCAGGGGGCAGGGAGGCGCCCGCCATCTTGCGGCCGGGCTCCTGCGGGTGAGCGGTGGGGAGTGGGGAGGACAAGGTCTCTCAGGGATTCTTCCAGAGACAGGAACCGCTGGGTTCAGATGGTTCTCCTGACTCAAATTTGTTCCGTGAAATTTGTTCAGGAATTTTTTTTACAACTGCTGGCAATAGAGAATGTCTCTCTTGTGAACTTGAAATGGTAAGAAGGTCAGTCCGAAACTGTGAGGGCCTTCAAGAGAAGAGATGCCTTCAGCTCAAGCTTAAGTGGGTGTGCGGCACCTGATACCCACTTTGGAAGAAGAAGGATGAAATATTAACAAGAACATGGAGGGTCTATGTATGTGCCTAAGCTGTTCTAAACACCCTACACATGCATTTACTTATTTACTTCTCAGCCCAACCCCGTGAAACAGGCATTATTATTCCAAGTTAACAGAGAAACTGAGACACAGAGACGTTAAGTCAGACCCCTAAGTTCATACAGCAGCTAAGCCCCAGAAGCAAAATTCACACTGAGTTGTCTGGCTTAAGAGGGAGGTCCTTAACCACCTTGACACAGTGTACCTGCATGAAACACAGGGAAGAAAGACAAAGCAACAAATATAAACGATGGAGAGCCTGAACAAAAGATGCAAGCAAGAGAATTACACTGCCAGCTTGTCTTTTTAAAAAGCACTTGGCCATTCAAGCTTCAGCAAATAGTCACTAAATACCTACTGGGTGTCAGGCCCTGTTCTGGGCACTGGATGGGCTGGAGAAAGACTATCCAGGAAGTGATTGCAGTATGTCGGTAATAAATAATGAAGACCAAGGGGAGAAGGGACATGCCCTGCACACAGCAGGTGGGACGGGACCAGCTCCTCTGACTTCCTGCCTAGAGAACAAGGCTGCTCCTTGTTCTTATCAAGAGGATCCTGGAAGCCCCAGAATTTGATTTGATTATCAAATTGCTAGAAAACAAAAACCATAGGCCATGGCTCTGTATGCAGATGACACAATGAAATATAAGTTGAGGCCAATCAAATCGTTAAAAAAAAAAAAAACAACAGTAATACTCAGTGCTGTTGCGTGTGCAGTGAGACAAGCTTTCTCACACAAACCAGTTATGGGGAGTGTTAATCAGGGCAATCATTCAAGAAAGTGCTTAAACATATAGGGTGATTTCACTTCTAGGAATCCATCCTGAGAAAGAGACCAGAGATTCAGGCAAAGGTAATGCCAAACGATGTTCATCACAGCCTAATGATGTAGAAGAACGAAACCCTATAACCCTCTAAATGGGCTTCCCTTGTGGCTCAGCTGATAAAGAATCTGCTTGCATGCAAGAGACCTGGCTTCGATCCCTGGGTTCGGAATATCCCCTGGAGATGGGAAAGGCTCCAATATTCTGGCCTGGAGAATTCCATGGACTATATAGTCCCCATGGAGTCACAAAGAGTTGGACTCGACTGAGCGACTTTCACTTTCACTAATCCTCTAAATATCCAACCTTAAGGCACGGTGATAAAGTTTGATGCATCTGAAGGCTGGTCTACTTACTATGCAGTCATAACATGCTTTTGAGAAATTTTTAATAATAGTGACTAGAAAAAACTGAGTAAATGTGTAATCTACTTTATTGCAAGTATAATTCAACACAATTTCAATTATAATACAATTAAAAAATTCAGTACATGCATGGTAAAAGATTAGAAGATGATAATTAAAATAACAAAAGTAATAAAAATCTACAGTTTATTGACTACCTGCTATGTGCAGGGCACTGTAGTAAATGCTTTACACGTACTGCTGTGCTGTCCTTAGTCGCTCAGTCATGTCCGACTCTTTACAATCCCGTGAACTGTAGCCCACCAGGCTCCTCTGCCCATGGGGATTCTCCAGGCAAGAATACTGAAGCAGGTTACCATGTCCTCCTCCAGGGGATCTTCCCAACCCAGGGATCGAACCCAGGTCTCCCGCATTGCAGACGGATTCTTTACTGTCTGAGCAACCAGGGAAGTCCTTACACATATTAGTTCATTTAACTTTCAGGACAACCCTGTATCATTTTATTTCTCCTTCACAGGTAGGAAATTGAGGCACTGAGAGGTTGAGTGACATGTCCAATATCACAATGCTAAGACGCTAAACCAGGAGTTCACTCCAGGTCTGGCAAACTCCAAAATCCTTGCATTATCCCTGTTAATTACTCTGCCAAGCTGGGGAAACCAAGGCAGGCGGCTAACAGCAGAACCCAAGCACCAGCAATCTTGAGAACCATCCTGAATCTCTGGACTCGTTATGAGTCCTGTATAGGGACTTAAGCAAGGGAGTAACATGGACCCTGGCCCTTAGGTGTCTTAGACCAGGACTGAGATAACTCAGCAGGGTTACTGATGAGCTGCACCTGTCCCCCTGCATCCTTTCTCGTACTTTATGCCCCAGCAATACCAACTTGCTTGCAGTTTCCTGCACGCTTGGTACTTTCTTCCCTCCATCCCTTTGCTCATGCTCTGCCCGCTGCCTGACATGCCCTCTCCTCTACCTGCCCCGACTGCCCGGTGAACTCCTCTGCTTCCCTCAGCGCCCCAGCTGAAATGCCACCCTCTCTAGGAAGCCTGCGCTCTTGTGCTGAGCAGAAGGAGTGCCTCAGGCACCCTCAGGAATGGTCCTCAGCTCTAGGTGTTGCTGTTGTCTGTTTAGGTATCTCTCCTAATGAGACCCAGGGGGTGGGAACCATGTTTCTTATCCCGCTGATACGTGGTGGTATAATCTGGTGTCAGAGCCTGGGCACTGGGGGCAGACAGCTCCAGTTCTAGCTCAGCGTCACCACTTACAGTTGCACGTGGAGCAAATGACTTTATCCTGCAGCACCTAGGTCCCCTAGTGTTTCAAATGATGCTGACACCTACCTGTCAGGGCCTGAGAGGAGGAAGGGAGTGAGTGCTGGCAGAGGGTAGGGAGGCAGGAAACAAGCATCTCCTGTTCTCTCTCTCTGACTCCCCCAGGCCTCTCAGAGCCTGATCAGAGACAATAAAAGTTTGAATGATTAAGTGACTATTTTGGCCTGACATTGACAACCATTCAAAGCTCCCATCTCCAGGAGCCTAAGCCCTTGGCTCAGTATCTCTGCCAGTGTCTCTGACGTCTTCACCCAGCGAGCTGGTCATGTCCCCGCATCACCACCACCCTGCCTGTGGCCCCAAACGCTGACCACACAGAGGCACCAATGGGCACTGGGGCCCTCTGGCTTCCGATCGAGCTTGGCCCCTAGGAAGACCAGCAGGAGATCAGAGGCAGAAGGAGGGTCAGAGGTTTTATCTCCCTGTCTCCCTCCCTAGCATGTCTGAGGACCAGGTGCACCCTCTCCCAAAGGCCTCAACCCTCGTGGGGCACTCCCTTGTAGCTCTCCCTGCCCCTCCTTCAGGCTCAGGCACAGTGAAGGCTCCTGTTGTCAGCCTGGGCCCCACACCCTCCCTGCGTGTTTCTCTAACTCCGCCTGTACCCTCATCAGTGGTGTCCCCTGAAGTGCCCTGCGTGGGGAGCTCTCTGTCTCCTTGCAGGAACCCTGAACTGACACGGCGCCTCCCACCTCTCCCCTACACCACCCTGCGCTCTGACCTAACTGCATGCTGACCTTGACATTGCCTCTGCAGGGAGGGTCGTGCCTTCTCTCCAGCCACCCACATCCTCCCTGGTGCAGTGCGCAGACTCACTCCCTCCGACTTCAGGGCCCTTGTGAGTCCCACACTGGGGCAGCTCCCACCTCATCTACCGGACTTCTCATGTTTGAGTGACTATGCAAGAGAGGCATCACGTGGTGTACTTCGGTAGAATGCCCCGGTTCAAATCCCACCGCCGCTCTGTTACCATCTCTGTGAACTTGGGCAAGTCATTCACGTCTCCGAGCTTTAAGTTTCTTGCCTGTGAAATCAGCATGATCATATGGACCCTTTGTGAACTTTGGAGGCTGAAATGAAATGACAAATGCAAAGCCCTGTGTGCATAGGAGAGGCTCAGTAAATGGTGGTGATGGCATTGCCGCTGAAATGATGGTAATTATGATGATTATAATGCGTCTGTCCTCCTCCCCTACAGCGAGCCCCTGAGGGCACGGACTGTACCTGATTCAATGTTGTGTCCCCAAGGCCTAGCTCAAGGCCAGAACCCAGTAGGTGGTCAAGAAAAGATGCTCACCATGCAGCCAATTCATTCCACAAAATATGTATTGACAGGCGCTGTTCCAGATGCTGGAAATGCAGCAATAAACAGACAGATACAAATCCTTGCCCTTGAGGATCTGGACAGCTCTGGGGCAGAAGCTGGAACTGAGTGGACTGGAAAGAAGCACAGATTCCAAAATGTTTGAGCAGGGCGGTTGGGAGATGCAGCGGCGCCCCAGTGACCCGGACCCGGAGCCCCTCAGGCACACCTGATCTCATTAGTAGCTGCTGTGGGCAGTTCCTGAGAACCCTCTCAGCTTCCCTCGGCTACCCTGGCTTTGCCTGCCCCATGGGAGCCCGTTCAGTCCAGGAGTGTGGTCAACTATAGGGGAGGGGGATTTCGTGCTTGCAGAGGTGACCCTCACCCAGTAAAGGCTGTGTGCCATGTGGCTCCCCTGTGGGTCCCGGCAGGATGGCCCCGCCGCCCACAGTAGCATCCGTGCTCGATGGCTGCACCTTTGTCTCACTCTTCTCCCTCCCTCTCTCTCTTCTCTCTCACCTGTGCCTAATGAGGTCACCTCCCAAATAAACCACCAGGGACTGTTTGGAAAGCAACCCTGAATATTCATGGGAAGGACTGATGCTGAAGCTGAAGCTCCACTACTTTGGCCACCTGACGTGAAGAACTAACTCATTGCAAGAGACCCTGATGCTGGGAACGGTTGAGGGCAAGAGGATAAAGGGGTGACAGGATGACGTGGTTGGATGGCATCACCGACTGGACAGACATGAGTTTGAGCAAACTCTGGGAGATAGTGAAGGACAGGGAAGCCTGGCATGCTGCAGTCCATGGGGTCACGGAGAGTTGGACACGACTGAGCAACTGAACAACCACCACCCACACAGAAGCTATCTAGGTCCAAGCTCATCATTGTGCCTCTGAGGAAACATCCGGACAGAACCAGTAACTCCACCAGTTCCCAAACTCTGCAGTTTGGGGCAGAGTATGCTCCCCCCGGTGACCCCCCACCATGGTCGCTACAAAGGGCAGAGTCCACAAGAAGATTGGGAGGGGGTGTGGTGGGGGGAAGTCGGGAGATTGAGGGGTGGGGGGGACCATCTGCCTTGCCTTCCCTGAGCCACACACTGAGCCTTTTAAAATTCTTTGGTTTTGCAATGTGGAGAACAGGTAATGCAATTACTTTTACATAGGCGTGTGCAGGAATGAAATGTTCCAGCACTGCTCCCCTGCACTCTTAAATAGCGCCTGTGTTTACTTCCAAATGGGGTGCCTTCTGGGCATATGGATCTGGGATGCTGTGCTGCTCCATATAGCTTGAGAAAGACCATCACTTCCCCTCATTCTGCCTTCTTTTTCAGGGGTCTGAGGCATTTCACACTCACCTGGTCTTGGAAGGGCCTCCAGGCTTTACCAGGCTCCACCCATGGGCCTGGGCGCAGCGGAGTTCTTCTTCTGTCCTGATGGATCCATGGAGGGCCAGGGAAGTGCAGTGATCTGCCCCAGGTACACAGCATGGTCAGAGCAGAGGAGAGTCTAGTCACGGGCTCATCTAGCTTCTAGCCTCACTGCTTTTCCTGTCTCATAGCACATTTAGAAGCCAAATCTCACTAGTCCTCAAACATATGAAGTACATTCCTACCCCAGGACCCGTTGCACTATCTGTTGCCTCAATAAAGACAGAGAAAATCTTTCCCCACCCCCTTTTTAATGGCTTGTTCCTTTTCTCACTCAGGTCCTGCTCAAAGTTCTCATCAGGATGATCAGGGATCAAGGAGGGCTGCCCTGAAGAGGTGGCCATGGGGCTGATCGGAAGCCTGGAGGCTACTTGTTGGTGTAGGATGGAACAGACTCCAGCGCTGGTTGAGGTTGTGGCTGGGATAACGATTAAATCCTAAAGCCTTGTGATTCTGGCATGAAGTTTTATGGTCTTAAGATTCTATTAAGTGATGATTCAAGGGCTGAGGGGTCTAAGACTCCAGAGTTTCAGGCTGTTGGGTGCTGAGACGCTGAGATCTCACCTGTGAGAACTTGCTCTTGGGGGAAGGACTGTCAGACCCTTCCTTTGGCCGAGAGTAGGTTTTCCCTCTTTCTGCCACCTCCCCGAGTGCTGTGTGAATGGGGCTCTTTGTGGTGTGGAGAATGCAAATTTGTTCTGCAGTTCCAATGTCAGGCGCTTATCTGTGTGTTCCAGTTTCCAGAACAAATATTGGAAGACAAGTCTGTGGAGATTTTCTGTGTGTACATGAGTTAATTCCTCCAGCCAGGGCTCATGCAGACACGGGCTGTAACATAGGGCCCCATTCCCGCATTCACTGCTGGTGACTGGGCTGCAGCGAGCCCAGCAGGGCGACGCAGGCTCTGACTGCAGGGGGCTGGGGGAGACCTTTGTGTGCCAAGGCTTCAGGCCAGGGTGGGCTCCGAAGTGAGACAGGGCAGAGCTCACCAGCTCAGTCCTGTGACCTCTTCCCAATCCTCTTGGATTCAGTTTCTTCGGGGACCGAGGGGCTGACCCTCCCAGTCTGCCCGGTGATTCAGAGGGTCAGGGGAAGCCCCCAGGAGTGAGGCAGGTAATGAGCATCAATCCCACAATCCTGCTCTCATCACATCGGTGGGGGCAGGCGCTGCTCCAGCGCTTCACACAGACTCCCTGCTCCCCCAACCTGAGGTTGGGGGTGGGGCACCATCATCACCCCACTTCACAGATGAGGAAAGCGAAGAGCAGGGAGGTAAGTGACTTGGCCACATCAGACTGCTGCTCTAAGAACCCGTGAACAGATGCAGAAACATTTAAGTATTTCTAGCAACCCTCCTAGCCAGGTGCCCAGGGACCGGCTGCCCTTCAGCCTGTCCTGAGGGCCTGTCCCTTGTCCTGCTGTGAGGATGCTCGGGTTGTAGCCAGAAGAGACTGAGATGCAGGTGACCTCCCCAGGCCTTTGCTCCTGCCACGACCTGTCCCTGGAACACCCGGCCCCCGTTTATCTGGGAAGCTCCCACCCACAAGGTTTTGTCATTCCCTGAGGTCACAGGCCCAGCAGCAGGGAGCAGGCTGGAGGCTCTGAGCCCGCTGCAGGCTGCCAGGACCCCCAGCGGGGCGAATAGAGGAGCGGTTCCCTCTGGGGGCTGTAAGGTGCCCCCTCCCCTCACCCACGTCAGCCCCTCCTTCCTTCCTGCAGCCCCGAGACCCCCGCTCTGTCACAGACCCCAGTGCAGCCGCTTAGTCGTGTCAGTTAACTCTGAACGGATCACAGGAGCCTTACCTGAGATTTATGAGGACACGCTTAGGCACCAGGTGATTAACTCAAAACAACAGGCGATGCACGTGAAACATGTTAACCCACGAGCCTGGCCGGTGGCCTTTCAATCCCTGTATGTCCCTTTGGAGACTCAGCAGTGGCCGGCAGCCCAGCTCCTATCGATTAGCAAACCTTAAAAAATTTATGACAAGTTGGAATTAATTGGCCACAGTGAGGGATGAGTTTGACTCGAGCCGAGGTTCTGTGGCCCCGACGAAGTGAGCCTGGAAGGGGGAAACTCTGTGAAGGAAGCACCAGCCACTCAGACGCTGGAGCCGCCGTCCCTCCGGGCTCTCCTGGGGTCTGTCCCGGCCGGGTTCACTCACCCATACCCTTGCCCCAGCGTCTCATCTCGCAGGCTCTGATCCTCCCTCTTGCCCCATTAACACAATGGCCAGAAACCTGCCATGTCTCCCTGTCTCCCCAGAGAGACGGCCTTGGCCTGGCGCCCACCCTTGCATCATGGCATGGTGCCCCTGCCTGGCCTGGGTAGGATACACCCAGAGCCGATACCCATCCAATTTGCAGGGCTGCCCAGTCCCCAGGACCGCCCACCTACTGGGGCAGGGCGGCCAGGAATCACATGTGTTTAAAGGTACTTTCTCTGAGTTGGGGTCATCTCCTAGATCTCTCGGCAGAGCCTACCTCATAACTGCATTGCAGTGTCTGGGGGTGGCACGACTGTCTGGACCCACGCAGGATTGGGTGAGCACAGGAAGGCCAAACCTTGGCTCCCTGTACACATCACCCCAGCCTCTCACCAACCAACTCACAGATGCTGAGGGCAGGAGAGGGCTGGGTGGACCCTGAGTCCAGGCCTCAGCCAGATACTTCTCTGCTCCCATCCTTTGCCCCTATGTCTGACCCACCAGCCAATTCTTAGGTTCTTCCTCCAAAATACACTCCTCTCTGGCCTCGTCTCTTTCTCCTGCCCTGGTCCAGACCTCTCATCTGCTAGGTTGCCCACTAGCCTCCTGCCTTCACCCCTCCCTGGTTCCAAGCCACACCCCCCTCAGAGGAGTCAGATCATGTCACTTTTTGCTGAGAACTCACCCTTGCCTGGGCTTCCCAGGTGGCATTAGCGGTAAAGAACCTGCCTACCAATACAGGTAGATGTAACAGACTTGGGTTCAATCCCTGGATTAGGAAGATCCCCTGGCTGAGGGCATGGCAACCCACTCCAGTATTCTTGCCTGGAGAATCCCATGGACAGAGGAACCTGGGGGTCTACGATCCACAGGTCTCAAAGAGTCGAACACGACTGAAGCGACAGCATACACGTGCACACCCCTGCCTCCCAGTAAACTTAAAATCAAATGCAAGCTCCTTACCACCTGGCCTGCAGGATCTGGCCCCTGCCCGCATCCATTTCTTTGCTCCTGCTGTTCCCTCCACCAAGAACTCCCTTCCACTAGCTCTCCTCCCAGTCCAACCCTCCCTGTCCTCAGGACTCAGATCCAAAGCCATGTCTTCCCCGAACACTGCCCTGAAGGGGCACCTCCCCTGTGCTGGGGGTACCCCGTATCCTCCTGCAGATTCTCCATCTACCTGTCCCATTACTGCGTTCCTCTGGGGGCTGACCTTAGCATCCTTATCCAGGGGACCCTGCATCCCTCTGGCTTCCAGATCTGGTTTATATATAGGGCACGCCAGCAGGAGATCAGGGAAGGAGGGAAGATCATATTTATTTATATTTATTTATATTCCTGGGGTCCCTCCCTACAGAGCACAAGGCTGGCTCCATCCCCAGGTTGCAGGTTTTAGCTTCTGTCCCGTCCCAACACCCTCCACTGAGCTCTCTCCATCTCTAGTAGTAGTAGTTCATGCATGCTTAGTCATGTCTGACTCTTTGCAACCCCATGGACTATAGCCCACCAGCCTCCTCCGTCTATGAGATTTTCCAGGCAAGAACACTGGAGTGGGTTGCCATGCCCTCCTCCAGGGGATCTTCCCGACCCAGGGATCGAACCTGCTTCTCCTACACTGGCAGGCAGATTCTTTACCACCTGAGCCACAAGGGAAGTCCTATTACATCACAGGTCAGTGAATAGGGTAGATATGTGCTTGCATCTCCTAACATGGCACTCAGACTCGCAGGAAAGCCCAGCCAATTCTGTGGAAGTTTCATGTTAAATCTCACTGACTTTTAAATGTCTTCGCATGGCATTTCCCAAGCTAGAATCCGGTGACACCCATTTGGGAGGTGTTAACAATTGGCAACCTTACACGGGCAGTCCATATTGGCCTATTTCTTTCATTGCACTGAGAGCCTATGACAATTTCATCCCAGGCTGCCTTGACACCAGGTTCCAGCCTGTGTGCTGGCTCATCAGAACTGGGAGACACTGAGCCACTGTTCCTGCTAGACCTCAAGGGGTTCCTCTAGACCTCAGCGTGACCCAAGCGCCTAATTTCATCCCTTCCACCCAAGTCCATTCCTCCTGCGCAAACTTGCCCTTCCCTTATCTGTGCCAGCCTTGGAATTCTGGCCCCACTAGCCCCAGACCCTAAGGTCCATGTCACTATGACAGACAGGGTTTCAGTCCTGGGTCAGGAAGTCAAGCCGTAATCTGCCCTGTCGCCGACTCCCTGTGTGATCTGGGGCAGGTTGCCTCTCCACTCCAGGCCTCAGTTTCTCCAGCTGCTCCTTCCACCTGGGATTCCCTTCCCTGTGAACAGGTTGGATCAGATGCTCTCCCAGCATGATCCCTACTCTAGTGGTGAGGTCTTTCCCAGGGCATAGATCCTGTTGACAGTCATCTCTCTTTGGGAGGTGAGAAAGGAGGGGGGAAATGTCATTCTGACTATGAGACATAATTATAGTGATCAGAAAGCAAGAGGCGACAGCCTCATGCTGGTCACTGCCGGCCTGACTACAGGGATGTTTTAGTTCCCAGCGGTACTAAACTGCCTAGCTGAACAAGACGAAGCCGTAAACACTTGGCCCTCCTCCAAGATGTGGGTTTTAGGATAAACAAAGCCATCGAAAAGGAATGAAGCCCCTCCTTGACGACAGAGCCTTGGGGATGCAACCCCTGATGACAGGATAGGGGACGTGGGAATGGGATTGATCATCACCACCACCAGCATCATCGTTGTCATGGCAACTGATGTAAATAGCAGCTTTCCTCTATCCCAAAGGCTTTCTATGGACTGACTCACTCGACCCTCACCACAGGCCTTGAGGAAACAGTGCCACCATCATCTCTGCTTCGGAAGCGGAGATGGGGGGAACAGAGCTTGGAGAGGTTATGTCATTTGCCCAAAGCCACCAAGCTTGTGAGTGATTATAGAAAGACTTTAACAGGGCTGAGCCCGTCACGAGCTTGTGCTGCTTGTTCCAATGGCGTGCTGACACCAGCATGGCCTTCAATATCCCTTTAATCAAACAGTCAAGACAAGGGCTCAGCAGCCATGAGAGTCGGGGTCTGGGGTAGGGGGAGTCAATAGCATCACACCTGCCAACTGGCATACCTGTGTCGCTGGCACATCCTGGCACCTAGCC